GAGCTGCAAGAGGAGCGTTCTATCTTGAGATCTTTAATTTCAGTCTTGGGCTTCAAAGGCCTGCAGAGAGAAAATGAGAGAGCTGGTGAGTGACCAGTGGGCTATCAGGAAATGGGTGGGCAGTGACACAGGGCTCATCACCGGGACCATTCTGGAGGTGCACACAAGACAAAATGACTCTGTCTGTTCTGAATAAATTCTGGCTGTGGGCAAAAGCGACTGCAATCATACATTTTATTACAGCTGAAACATCAGAAAAGTAAGTCATGGAATAAGTTGAGAATTCGTCATCAAACTGAGAGATGTCACTCACTTAAGAGCGACTGTTTTTTGTGTTTGGTGAAAGATCAAGAGGAACACATTCTGTCTGACACAGACATGGAAAGCAGTTTGTATCTGGGGTACTCTAGTGCATCTTGTTTATTTCGGTTTCATCGCAGTGGGGGGCACGGAATCAGCACCAGATCAATCCCCTTTAATGCTTATGTGAGAGGAACATCTGCTTTTCAATTAGATATTTAGCAAGGCCGACAACAGGGGGTTACCTCAAAGAAGCAGCGGTGTCACCGGGGTCTGCAATAATGATGTGGCTAATGTGCCTATCAGACGACACGTGGATCGAGAGCTCAGCCTGCCGCAGTATCTTAAGATAGCTCCACACAGTCTGTTTCTTCTGATAAGGTGCAATCTGATTCAAAGAGATCAAGCGTGCTTGCAGGAATATAAGTCGTGTAACAGAAAATAAAAACCCAGTCAACAGCCGGAGATTAATAAATCCACACCCTCCGTTGGAAAAAAACGTGCTCCTGTCATGTTGTTCTCATGTTCCTGTGTGAAACCCCCCCCCCCCCGACAGTCCAGCAGCCTATCTCTGCTGCCTTTTTGCCTGCATGTGTTTGAATAATACCCTCTGAGCATGCCAGGGGGGTTATCAGCTTTCACCTCCTGGTAACAAGCTGTCTTCTAAAGTTGTTGTGAAAAGTGTTTTCTTTTTTTTTTTTTTAGCAGAGGAAGCAACATTTGAGAACACGGAGATAAGTGAAATAAATAAATAATGATAAAAAAGAGGATCTGCCGGAGCTGATAAGACCTCAAGACGGTGAAATTGATTGCAGTCTGTGTTCCTCAGCATGCACATTTTTTGCTGATCGAACAAAAATCTACCAAACAATTCAGCAGAAAGGAACGGGCTTTGACTTACGACGTCCTGTATCTGTCATAGTCTAATGGCTCAGTTCAAGGGCCACTTGTTTATGTGATGGGGGGAGGGGGCTGAGGGCCAGATGACAGCACTCAGTTATCATTCAAAACCCTTTCATGTTCACTCTACATATTTATCTCTGCAGTGAAATGTGATGGTTACACGATGTAGCTCAAACTCAATGACCATATGAGGAGCCATGGTAAGGGCTCTAACAGGTTCAGAGCAGGACGAGGAGAGTGTTGCTGTTTTTCCCCTGACTGATCCATCCCTGGTTCTCTTCCCCGTGTTTGTCTGATATGTATGTGCAGGAGAGGTGAGGCGTGTTCCCCCTGCTGCTCCACGCATGTCCCCCCCCCCGGGCTTCTCACCTCCTAGGAGGAACGTACAAGCTAGTGATGATCGAACACTGGTGCTCTTCAGCCCTGAGGCTAAGCAGATCTGGCAGATTATCCAAAAATACCGCTCACAGCTTCTACAGGTCAGAGCCGCACACCCCCAAACATAAAAAGACAACCGCAGAGCGTGAAAAAGAGCGGGCCGTCATTCTTTAATCCACTGGTTTTAGATTTGTATTATAAAACGGCAGCAATAGTCAGACTCAAACCTGTAAACAGCCAAGCATTTGGACATAGACTGTATAAAACAGTTGTATCAGTTACCTAAAAATAACATGAACTTACTTTCATTTCACCTAGCAACAGCCATAGAGATGGAGCGGAGGCGGGTCTTAAGCCTCCTGGGGAACAACTACAATGAGCCAGTCTGTCAGATCAGCCACGCCTCTAATTGTGCAAACTCTCAGCCTTAATGTCAGACCAAATTCATCCTTTTTCTTGTTGGCCAAGAGAGTGAAATAGGAAGACATAGATGACCATGTTAATGTATTTAAGGCTACAGTGGCTGTGAATGTTCAGTTGCATTTGGGTATGAATAGGTCACATTAAATTGAAGTTTAATCATGATTTTTTTTACTCTTTAAAGATTTTTGAGAACAAAATAAAAATGCATTCCAGTTATTTTTTCCTGTCATTCTAAACACATTAACACGTGTGAGAAACTTGTGTTCACCTTCTTATGTCTCCTCCTCGCTACAAGAGCAGCAGCCATCTGAACACTACACAGGGAACCTGGATGAGCACTTGGCTGTTAAGTACACACACGGGCACGATCCCCTCAATTATTGTCAGGCTTGGTAAATCACAATGCATGTATTAAATTCACAAATTTACATTTTCTCCTCCCAGTATTTTGCACTCTAGAAACGCCCCATATTGCATATTCATTAAGACAAATGTACTAAACGGACAATGCGTGTTGTCTTGCACGTTTGACTAATGGCGTGCGTTTAATCAGTGCACGCTGTTAGTAGATCAGCTTGCAGATTTGTTTTCAGGTTATTTTTAGGTTTTACAGATTTTAAATACAAAAACTTTTAGTAAATCAGGCCCTCTGTGTAGAGAGTTGCTCAAACTAAGAGACACGTGTTGGAAATGGTTATGAAAAAAATGCCTAATTAGAAAACAGGAGTGGTACTTCCCCCCCTACAGGCAACCCAGACAGAACCCAACCTGTCTGACATCTCTGCCCACAACAAGCTGCACTACCAGGACTCCTCCCAACAAGCCAACAACAGGGCTCAAGAGTGTGATTCCAAAAGTAAAAATCCCATTCATTGTTTCCATAGCAGATTTGATTATTTGCCATAATCTCATAATTATCCAAAGTAGACTTACCTCGAGCTATACTGAGTGTGAAACGATGGTATACACTCCTGTAGAAGACAAGCTCGTATGATATCATCCTCATTTAAAAAAAACATGGTTTATAAAAGAACTACACTACCCACGACCATAAAGTGTCACAGATACGTCTCCCACTCCTCTGCTCCGAATGCCAAATGGATAATCTTTGTTGCAGGCTAGCTTGTTAGCTAACACTCAATGTAGTAATAACCTTGTTATGCAGCAGTGAATGTCACTTATAAATTCCACAACACAAACTACAACACTTGTATTAACAGTATAAACACTACAACATCTGTAGAAGTCACATTTAAGAAGACATGATATCATTAGCAATGGATTGTGGGATGGGTAGTTCCTTGAATCTGGCCAAAAACTATGTATATAATTAGTCTTGTACCTTTGCCTTTTACTCCATTTTTCAATGCCGCCTGGAGCCGAATCAAACGTTTTAAAGTCCTGAGTATAGAGGTAGCTGCTTGTCTCGGTTCCAGGTGTCAATCTCTTGATTTAAGGATTTTGTGAAATGTCAACTGAGGATTTGAAAAGTGGAAAATGTACTGCGGGAACAAGAGCCGCCCATAAAGTGGGTGATCACTGTTGAGATCTATAGGCATGTTGATATGTTGATAATATTGATAAACAGATTTTATATAAGAGTGCCAAATGTCTTTGTACACAGATGCAAAGATGGGTGACTAAACCCTTTAAATACCCATAAAGAGGAGAAACCCTTTCTTATGTAGAATTGTACACACGTGCACTCTGGTGAGTCCAAAGTTCCTGGGCCTGCAGGATGAACGCACTCATCCTACTGCGCAATTATTGACTGAATAATGTGAGAGGCATCAAGCTGTGAATCAAACCTGTGAGAAAGAAATGTGCTCTGAACGGTCATTGGAATAAGAAGAGGAAATTGGTTCCCTTTCTCTGCAGAGCTGCGTGTGATTTAAGGAAGGGGAACTTATTAACAAGGAATATTAACAAATATTTGAACCAGGGGCATTTCGTCTTCCTTTACAAAAACTCAATATTCATCGGCATCTGATGTGATTTACCGAGAAAAAGAGATCTCCAGAAAGTGAACTCCAGAAAGTGAACTCCACTTTTATGGACACAGTTTCATTGCAGAAAAACTCTCATCCTTTGAAACTGGCTGAACTAATGGGCTCAAAATCGACGTGTTGTCTGACAATAACACTCTCCAGCGCGTGCACCGAGAGACGCTGCATGCAAATAACCACAAAGCAAGGCCCCTTTTGACTAAACAACTCGAGTGTGTGTTTGTGTACACACAGTTGTCATGGAAACATGGCCAAAACAGCCAATCCCAAAAGGCTGCCAGACGCTGATGCTCTGAGGCTCTTCTTGATGATAAGTCGACCTGACAAATATTTTCACTGTCCCCTTGGAAGAATGAAAGAGCCATCACACCGAGTCGATCAAACAGGATTTCAACATCATTTCACCCAGGAACAGAGTCATCTTTAGGAGACACGCTCACATTTTAAAACTACATTTGCATAAGGACCTTTCAAACCAGAGAGAACACTGTAAAAGATGTGTGACATCTTAAAATAAGCGTATCAGTAATATATAAGAGCTTAAATCTCACTTTGGTGTTTTTGAATAATAAAAAAATATAATGAAATTTAACCTATTTATTTATTAAATGGTTATAATTGACAATAATAAATCCAGAGAATCTGTGTTTGATGTTATTGTCATTGCAGGAATCCAAATGATGCAGCGATTAAACAACCCTGAAGTGAAAATCCAGAGTGAACGCGCACCTGAATACAGAGATAACGTTTGAGATGCACGTAAACACACCTGCCTGGAAGAGAGTGCTATTCTCAATGGAATTTCTGCCGTGTAAATAAAGGACATCACAAGCAGCTAAGGCTTGTTGAAGACGTGTGCTGAGGGAGTCGACGCAGCTCGCCAGTGTTCTCGTTTGATGAATGAATGTTAAAAATGCATCAGTATCGACAGCCTCCAAATTGATGTCAGAGGCAAAAAGTGTCCAAGATAATGATTTATTATTCCCTTCATGGTGCTTCAATAGTGGGGCAACATATACAGGCCAATATACAGTTTAATTAACATCATTTTTATCCTCATAAAACATAGGGACATGGGTCTACACTTTTCAATTACAATGTCACTTGTTTCACAATCTCAGTTGTTTTAATGATGGATGGTATGGAGAAGGACAGAAGCTTTAAAAAATCTGCAGTCATATTTTGAACCCAAGAAGAGCACTATTAAAGTGCACAAATACAAATGTTGCCAACGTATTGGTGCATTTTAGACTGTCCTTTTTTGGTAATAAAAGATTATAAATTACCCAATAATTGTTTTGTTGCTATAGTAACAAAATATGTATAATTGAATTCTTGAATTCTTGGAAATCTGTCATCATTATTAAAAAAAAAAAACCTTTGCAACATTGTCAACAAATGGTTTTAAGATTAGTTCAGAATGCTATAATTTAAGAGTTTTATTTTCTTCCTGTTCAAAATTCAAGAAAAAACAAATGACGCAAATCCTAATGATAGTGAAGTAACAGAAGTTAGTCCTCATGTATGGGAGTGAAGGTTTTTACATTTTTGTGTGTGATGAAAGACTGGTATGGTAATTATTTCGATCTAGTGTTACATTTTATTATATGAAAGAAATGATAAGAAACCAAAACATCCTTTAAAGATGATGTGTGATTCTGTTGGGCACAGCCTGTCAATAAGCTGCACAGTTCACTGCACAGAGGCTTTGATGGGTTCACTCTGTGTGTGTGTGTGTGTGTGTGTGTTTGTGTGTGTGTGTGTGTGAGATGCATTTTGAAAGAGAGTGAACCTGAGAAAATGGAAGAAGGTGTTGAGCTGCTGTCAGAGGTAAACCCAGGTTTAGGACGTGTGGGCGTCTCTATCTGTTTGGCCGCCGGAGCACAGGGATGTGCTTGTGCTGTGATAAGGCGGGACTGGCGCATAAAACAGGCTTAGTCTCCTAGAAAAAGTTCTTTAATCAGCCTGATGCGCTTAGTGAGCAAAGACTGTGGGAATTGAAGTGAAGAAAGTCGGGTCAGATAATGAGACTTACATCTGTAACCTGGAGAATGTGATTTCCTTGAATCCAGCAGAGGAAGAAGAAAAGCTCATTATCCTTATCACTTGACAGATAGGCCAGATATCGATATTATGCATATTTTGTGAGGCCCTTGTCGGAAATTAGCTAAATCCTTCCTCTTTTTATCCCTTTGAATTGTATGTGTCCATTTTCATACTCCACGCTTTCAAATGCATGAGGCCACTGTTTCAATTTGTCTACAGACTTTATCAATGTACTTCATTTTTTGCGCCCTTTCCATTCATTTTCTGAGAAAGCTGACAGTTAATTGAACAGATGGATGATAATCACGTCTGTCGCAAAGCCTCCCTGGAGACCGTCCTCTCCCCTCTGGTGGGGAACAGCCCAGTTTTTTTTTTTTATGTCCTCCCTGAGCAACAAAATATAATGTGATGGGTGTGGGGGAGATAGGAAAACAGTTTATCAAGCCGCCGAGCAACACATTGCAACATTCAGTAATTACGCCTGACATTGATTAGCACTTAGACTAATCATTGCAACAGTCGAGTGCATTTCCACATTTTTTACTGAGACTTTTTCTTATCAGAGAATGAGTCTTTCACATAAATTCAGCTCAGTGACAAACATTTCTGTGTTATCAGAGAGGAAAGACGTCACTGTTTACATTTTCTTTTATGCATATGAGGTTTTCACATTCCTGATTCAGAAAAAAAAGCCTTTGCACAGAGGTCACAGTGTTGTTGCAGATGCAGAGCAGCACAGCCAGGAGCTGTTGCAGTGTCTTGCTCAAGGGCACTTCAGTCGCTTGCTGTCGCATAGGCTTCAACCTGTTAAAGGATAAGTCTCCTGTTTACCACCGAGCCAGTCTGCTGAGAGGGAAGGTCATGACCACGCCGAGTCACATCAGCAACGTCTGCTGCAAATAAAATGTGAATTAATCTTGTGTGGATGTAATCAGGAAATGAGAGTCACACTGATGAAAGAATGGAAAACATAACAGAGAGTCAATCAGCTTCATAACAGCCCTTCAACACTCGTGATTTAAGCCTCCGTCGGGCTCCAGCAGCTCTCAGGGTGTAGACTTGTTGGTTAAGTTTGGGATTTAAAGTTTCAGATCAATGTTTTTAAAGTAATTTGCAGGTGCTGGGACATGATTAATGCTTTGCTGCAAATAAAGTCTGGGAGTCCTGATAAGAGCTCAGGAAGCGCTCTGACACAACACTGTGTAAACCCAACAGCACCACAGGTTAGAGATGGAAAATACACATTTCTAATTGTGTGTCTCACCTCTTGGTAATGAGAGTACCCTTTTCAACAACCCAGAGCCTTAGATTTTTCTTTCCCTGGCTTTCTTCAGATAAAGCAGCTCGGTGGGAGCAAATTAATTCATTGTATAGCACCGAATGCTGGCTGTCGCTTTGATTTTGGGGGATTCAAGCCAGACAGGTTGAGAAGTGCAGCTGTAGGCTGTGGCACATTTGACTTTAAAATGAAGGCACTACAGCCCACGACCTGACGCTGTGTGGATCCAGCAGAGCATGCATCTAAACACAACCTGCAGTGTTTACAAGAAGAACATGTTCAGAACCCACTCGGAAAAAAAAGGAAACTACAAATATTTGCTTTTGTTTCTTTGATTTCTAAAAACGTATGCTCAACGTAGCATCATTGTTCAAGCTCTGGAAATAAATCAAATCATTCTGAGTAAACTGGTGTAAGACAATCAAAGTCTGTATAGTGTGAAATGTCATTTATCACTTATGAGTTACAACTTGCTTGTTGTAACTCCTGAGAGATAAAGTTATTATCATCAAAGCCTCACAGAAAGTAAGAAAACAAAGTGCTTAGTGTCTGCTTTAGCTGGAGTTTGTTTGCCAGTGAAAACACAGCTCTTTTTTTACCCCAACACAGTCAACACCTAAGGCTCCACACAATGCAAATGCAGCTTAAAACCAATGATGCATGTGTAATGAATTTCCTACATTTGAAATGACTGACTGAGCAATGAGCACTATGTGCATCTGGTGTGGGCAAGGCAGTGCATTTAAGTTGATTCCAGGCAGCCGGGGCGCTCATTTTATTCATGCTAAAACAGAATAATAAAAGAATCACAGACAAGGCAGAATTACAGGGGAGCTAAAAAGGAATAATTTTGGTTGGAATAGCTGCTGTGGAATCACCTCAGACAGCAAGAGGCCGGTTAGATCCCGCCGCAGCGCTTCCCATTAGCATTATATAAGAGATGTCAAGGCTGGCCTAGCTAACACTCCCCATGATGCTACAACCTACTCATGCATGTTTTACATCCTGTTACGCCGCTGTGAGATCGGGCTGTAGACCCTCTGGAGGCTGAGAAGTGACTCCTCTTGTAGAGGTCAATGCCTTTGCTCGATATATACTTTTTTACATATAAATGCCACAGCGTATACAGTAACTGCCATGAGAGTGTGTTTGGGTGTGTTCAGCTTCAATAGCTCTGACATTAAATTCTTAGCAAGGGGAAGAAAAGGATACGCACAACTCAGTTTATTTTAGTACCACAGGAGCTTGTCTGTCTCTCTCATAAATACTGAACCTTTATTCCTTCAAAGGAGTAGCAATGAGGCACTCAGTATATGTATTTTTTTTTTTTTTCCTGTATCTATAATAAAGGCATCGTTCCTCGTGCACGCTCTGTGCAGTGTGCTAGTTGCAGTCGTGTCTTGTGCCTGAAAAAGTGAGATTAAGATTACGGAGCTACAACATATCATGCAGCAAATGTATCATTTGTCATTGGGACTATAAGGCTGTCATTGCACAGGGGTGATTACAGTGTATATACAGGACAAATGTGTGTGTGTGTGTGTGTGTGTGTGTGTGTGTGTGAGGATGTATATATATAAATAAGCGCGCTGGTTGGTCTGTCAGTGTAAATGTATCTCTCTTTATCTTTTCCCACTGCAGGCTGATGCACTGAAGAGGGAAGTGTCCTCATTTATAGTCTGGTTAAATCAAGTTACACACATATCAATATTAGTTGTTCAATGAGCAGACAAGCCGCAGCATTTGATCATTTATACTATTTAGAAAATTAATTAGTGCTTTATCTGCTGCACGCACAGCTTGCAGAAACATTTCCACTTGTTACATTTGTAACCTGTATTTCATGTGTAATACATTTTGAAGCCTCCCTTAAAAAAACAGAAAACATCTACAATGTTGTTGTTGCTGTTGTGCATATTATTTGTATTTTCTGTGAATTAATGATGCATCACAATGTACATTGTTTTCAGGAGTATTATGAATAACATGCATGTAGGATGAGTTTCAGACTTTCTTCTTTCTTTTTTTTTTTCATATTCAAGCAATGTCAAGACTCCCTAAACTAATGCGTCTCAAACTCCCCAGAGCGACTCACCCTTGGTGTGCTCTCTGTGCTGCGAGATACTTTGGAGTATTATCTGCAGCCACAGTGGTCACAGGGAGTCGTCGCTCTCCGTTTCAACTCTGGACTATTTTTTCTGAGCAAGTTATTCTGGCGTAATGTAAAAAAGAACAACTGGTGCAGCTGTATTAATTCCATTAAATGTTAAAGGCAGCAGAGCTTTGAAGGCTGATTTCAGTTTATTTTCGTTAATTGTGCGTGCCAAACTGAAAATAACCCACATTCAAAATGACTCAGATGCAGTTAATCTGGTTTCAGGCGGCGCAGCCTACATAAATTGATAAACATAATTCACTGGACATCTCAGAGTTGCCGTATAATCTGATTCCTGTCACTTTAGGGTCAACGAGTCAACAGTTTTATGTGAGCTATGATGGACATTTTCGTATAATTTATGATTTTATTTATAGTGTTCTTTTTGTGTGTTGGTCTGATAATTAATTATTCTATTTCTACATGTTAAATGCACTGAATGATGATTTTGATATTTCCACACTGAGCTTGATCTACTCCATTTTGGCAGCAGATTACATCTGAATTAATCAGGTTATTGTGATTCTGTCACATGTAATCCTTCACCCCCCCCCCCCCCCACACACACACACACACACACACACACACACACACACACTCTGCATGTTTGCCTTTGAATGTGGATGTGTTGGCATCTGTTGCTGCTGAATATCTTCACACATGAAAGTGAACTGACATGCCAGGAAAAAAAACTGGACTTTCATGATGTAAGCGGGGGCTTGAAGTCGAACATTTTTGCATCCTGGAATAAAGGAAATCTCTCTTTTGTTGGCATGAGCTCGGGGTGAGACGTAGGATAGCACTTAATGTCATGTGTGTGTTCGTGTGTGTGTGTGTGTGTGTGCGTGCGCGTCCGCTGCTCCTCCCCCGTGGAGAGCCAAGTAATTTTATGCTCTAATTCTTTCCTTTAAATTAGGCAGGAGGCATAAAATATGAAAAAGGCAGAGATATTTTGAGAGGTCATGTGATTTGTGGCATAAATACTTAACAAGCACTTGAAATGAAACATTTTATTATGTCATGTCTGCAAAGAATGTCAAGTTGTAACTTGATTAAACACTGGAGTAGTCTCTAATGTGTGCTTGATCCTTTATTTAGCCGTGAAACAAGATGTGATGCAGCCATTGGATAATCTGCCAGCCGCGTTTGCATTAAGCTGGGTGTAATGTAATATGCAGTCCCCTGCTGCGACCGTTTCTGGCAAAACCTAATCAAACATAACACACAAAAAAATTAAGGGTTAATTTTCGTATGCATGAGAACTTAAAACGACAACACATTTCAGGCCTATTTGCTGCAGCTCTGAATAGTAATTTAAACGCTGCTGTTTGAAATCGTTAAATTAAACAGCAGTTCTGAACCCAGTTAATCCACTTCTGAAGTGATATAAATATAAGGAACTGCTGGTTACCTTGTTGTTCCAGCATCATGTGAGTTTCACCTATCGCTGACCTTATTATCTCTTTTCACAGTTCATGGCTTTTTGATCCCAAAGCATGTCATCAGACATTTGTGTCTTTGTTGTGTCTCTGATTGGTTTCTGTTCTGACATGATGTGCTCTGATTTACGCGCGGGATGCCTCGCACCTTCATTGTTTATTATAAGCAGAGAGTTGATGGGAATGAATTAATCGTTGTCGTATCTGAACAGTCTCCCCCTTACCTGCCCACATTTACGAGGTGTTATTTCTCCCATGTATTAGTAAATTGCATGCATGCAATTCATTTCCCCCAAGGCACCTTGTCGTTTTTCTCATCTGAACGGAGTGACTGGGGCATTGAGCTATATGGGAGATATATTAGTGTCCTGCAGCACAGCAGCGAGAGGGTAGGGCCTATCTCCATGATTTATTCCAAATCCAAAAACCCTGCAGGAGCGTGTTGTCAATCCCACTGGCATCACCTTAGGGTCACATCAAGGCAGTGAGTTGGAGAAAACAGAGACAGTTGTTTACAAATGCAGCCGCCTGTTTTGTTCTTGTCGGGGATGGGTATTAAAAAGTAAATTGGGGCTGCTGGTGTATTAAATATGAAGAGAAGGTGACGTGCTGGTGAGATTTGACTGACATTTTTCTCGGCCCCCCAAAAAAGAAAAACTGCACTGCGTTGGTATCAATCATGTCGGCCTTTTCTGTTATTTCAAAGGACTTTTAGAAGACTCTCAGGCAGGCTGCACTAAGAGTTACTCAAGAGTGTTTTCACACATGTTGCACATATCTGCCAACGGAAGCAGGACACTGGCTGTGAGTACTGAGTACTGTATAATATGTCACAGAGAAACACTCCTATCATAAACTAACAATACAAAAACAGGATATTCAGTTCATGGCTGGAGTCACAGTATGCTCCTGAATCATGCTGCTTGCATGCTTCAGTCATCACTCTTCTGCTACGATGCAGATACCCACCCAGAGGTCACTGCATGTTTAAATCACAACGCAGAACAGTGTCCTTCTATT